CGAGAGAGGAAATTTGATAAGATGAAGAAGAAGAAGAAGTGATTCCTTCACTGTAAGCTTTTGTTTCTTTCGCTCTCTACCGCACTGTTTTGTTTCGAGGGGACTTTTCCTTATACAGCTTTCTTTGGGGTAAAATCTGCATTTAATACATAAACTATCAGTTTTAATTTGTTTAGTATCTAAACCTTTAATGTTTTGAAATTATGCCTAATGTTTAGATTTCATTTCATTTTAGTACCCATCGTAAAAACTTAACGCATTTAGTACCCGATTTTGGTCCGTTTTAGTAAAGTGTAACGTTAAATTTTGAATGGGGTATTAAAATGAAAAAAAACTAAACTTTTGAGTATAGTTTTGAAATAATTAAAAGTTTAAGTACTAAAACAGACTAAAACTAATAATTTTATGTACTAAACATGTATTTTACCCCTGTCTTTGATTCTGGTAGAGCTAATTATACTTTAAGTCCTTAAACTATGTTTTATATTTTATCTTAGTCTTTTAAACTTTAAAAACTTAAAGTATATAATCGTACCATTTAGATTTGTCAACATGGTCATAATTAGGGATAGCCATGGGACAAATTGGTTCAAGTTTTTAAGTGACTAGTGCCCAACTCGAGTATTATATCCCCACCCAAAACTCGACTCTATTTGGATTTATGAAAGCTTCTATTGACTCAAATTTTAAGATGAAAAATTTTGATCCAACTTAAATTTTAGGATAAAAAATCAAATTGTATCCGATCCAACACTAATATAATTTTTTTATTTGATAAAAATAATAATCTAATTAAAAATAGTTAAAAAGAATATTATAACATTTATCCTTAAATGAACATCTCTAGTCATCACCTAATGTGTTAAAACATGAAATATGTGTATGTATATTACATAAATAATTTAAATATAACATATTTTAAAATAATTATTTTAAATTTTATTGACACTATTACTTTTTGGAATATTAAATTTAAAATATCTTTATAATGATTAAATATTTATTTTCCGTTTGATACACATATTTAAAATACCCTTTAAGCCAAATTCATAATGACACTAATCATAAATTAAAAATATTAATTCTATTAAACTGAATTAAATATTTTAAATTTAAAAATAAATTCAAAACATGGACCATAACATTGGGACTAGTGAAGCAATAAGCTTATTATTTTATGGGTAAATTACAAATTTGGCAACTAAATTTTACTCTCTCCTATTTCATTCATTGTACTTTAAATCTTTTTAATTTCCTCATTGAACTTAATACATTAGACTTTTTTTTGTCACTCAGTCGTTAAATAGTTAACAACGTTAAAATGAGCAGTTATAGAGATGCAAAACGATGACATTTTGGTGAAATTTTTGTTTTTCTAAACAATGTTATTTTTAACACCATTAACTAATTGACAGTGGAGTAACTAAAGTAGCAGAGAGTAAAGTCCAATGACAAAAAAATCTATTATATTAAGTTCAGTGAAGAAATTGAATTTTTTAAAATTTAATGATCAAAATAAGAGATAAATTAAAGTATAGTGATGAAATTGTTAATTTACTCTTATTTGATTTCATTGGTACCGGCCAGATATAGCGCCTGCAAGATTGGTAAAAGGAAACAGGTAACCGACAATTGTAGTAACTAAAATTACTGTTATAACCCTGAGTCATTGTTCAAGTGATGTCTGTTTGGTGGTGACGTCAGTCATGCTTATTTAGATTTAAACATCTAGTACATCATTTACTAAAATTATTTTTTCTGGGTCTCCAACTGTTAAACGTTATAAAATAGTCTTTGCACTATAAAGTATTATTTTTGTTAAATCTCTCGGTTATTCAAAATTACAAAATTTTATTATTATTATTAATATGTTCTATACTAATCTTTTTTTTTTGTTAAAAATTAATTCATTTTAGTTGGACGTTAACATGTTGACTGAGATATGATAGTCTTATTAGATTCTGAGATTATATTTTATCATATCTCAGTTAACAAGTTAACTTCCAGCCCAGACTGAAGTCAATTTTTTAATGAAAAATGACGAGTTTAGAACATGTAATAGTTTAATGATATTTTGTAATTTTTAATAGTCGGGAGCTTAATAAAACAACACCCTATAATCAAGAGATCATTTGTGTACTTTACCCTTAGATCATTTCAAAAGAAAAATTAATTTTGAAAAATATTTTTAGCTTCACATGTAAAAGTTAAAATTTCATTTTCCAAAAAATAGTTTTGAATCAAAATCAAAATTTTTATTTGTTATATGTGTTTATTTTATAATTTAAATTTTATATTTTTCTATAAAAATAATTATATAATTGGATAAATTACTTGCGGGTTTAAAAAATTTATATCTTATTATGATAAATTTTTTGGAGACTAAAAAATATTTTAAATTTTATATATTTTCACGAACCATGAGCAACCATATAAATTTATATCTTATTATGATAAATTTATATCTTATTATGATCTCTCATTACACATAATTAACAAAATAACATTTTAATGGATGAGTCTACTGCGCACGTCACACACTAATTTGTATCCATATAAATTTATAAATAAGCATTAAACTATGATAAAATGATCTTTTTGGTCATTCAACTTTTAAAAACAATTATAAAACGAGTATTAAATTTTGGATTTCGTTAAAAGAAGTATTGATACTTAAATATCGTTAAGGGCTAATGTGGCATATTAAATTAATAAAAATATATCTCATTTGCTCAATCAATTGTGACTAGAAATTTATTTATGATATTTTTCAATAATTTTAAGTAATAATTCCAAAAAAATAGAAAAATAATTTTTAAATATATGGATTTTCAATTTTTTAAAAATTATAAATATATTTTTAAAATTATATTTAAAACTATTAAACAAAAGTTAAAGAATTGAATAACATTATTTTAATAAAAAAAGATTTCATTTTTATAATGAAATTGTTGGATCTCAAAAATTATAAATTATAAATTTTCAAATATAATCACAATTAAATAATTTTTTTGAATTAATAAATTATTATTTTTTACAAAATACTTATAATTTTATGAATTAAAAGATTTATTAAATTTATAATTTTTTTAAAAATACTTTTATAATTTTAAAATGAACCGTGAATTTTTATATATATAGAAATTTTATTTTTTACAATAATTGCTTTGAAATATTAAAAATATGAAAATGAAATTTAGTTTATAATTGAGGGTTCAAATTTAACATGTTATGTTATCCCTTTAACGATAATTAAAGATGTGATATTCATTTTGTAATACAATTGAGGGGTTGAAACTTGAATCAGTTATTATGCAACTTTTAAAAGTTCAATGTTCAAAAGAATTATTTTAGTATAGTTTAATGACCATTTAAAAATTTTACCCTACAAAAATAATGATACATTTCGGTCTGTGGCATGTATCGTAGAATTTTCCACATTTTAATTAGCTATAAGACTACCTCATTAGTTACCATAATACAACAACATTATCTTATTTTTTAAAAAAGAAATTTTTAGTAGTCAATAATCTTAGAGCAAGTTGTTAAAAAATTCTCAGTTGACACATCTATTTCTCGCTTAGGTTATGGGTTCAGTACTCATTTCGAGTAAATTTATCATTCTCCTCCCTTAGATAGAAACTGTTCAAAAAAAAACCTTTAATATGATGCATATTGTAAAAGAATGAAATGTGCACAAGAAAATGCTAGCAATAATGATTAATAATTCAATTAAAAATGATTAATAATGATAAACAAATAAAGGCAAAAGTTAAATAACAAATAAATAAACATGTATGACCAGATTTTAAAAGATAGAACTTAAATGGATAAAATAGAAATAATTTGCATAAAATGGGACTAAACCGAATGAAATTGGAAATTAAAGGGCTCTAACATAATTATAAATGTCGATAGATTAAATTAGAATAAATAATAAATTTGAAAGGGTTAAAGTGTCACTAGATCATATGAATTTGGTCTTAATAACACTAATTTAAAAGTGTGGAATCAAATATAACCCCTTAGACCTGACTTAAACATTATGGCCATATGTAACTTCTCAAATCTCGGGTTAATAGTTTCGAGCTAACCCGAGATTATTTATACAAGCCTACTAGATTTATAGAAAAGCTTGGATCAATTTAGGATGAGTTGGACTTGGGTTAGGCCTAAATAGTAGCAAAATGGGGGCATCTTATTATTGGAATATAGTGGAAGGATTAAAAGGGCAATTATACTCTCTTATAATCCAAAAGTTGATTTTATCTTAATGAGGATGATGTATTATGCTTACCCACTCCCTCTTTTTCCCCTCATTTTCATCCTTCATTGTCCCCTACATTCTTCCTCTCCATTTTCATAACTTTCCTTCTCCAAGCAAGTGTAAAAGTGAAAAGAATCACAACCTTCTCGCGTTTAGCTTTCATTTAAGCTCTCAATCTCAAAGCTTGGCTATAATGACCATAGGTGGGGTTTAAAAAATTAAGGATTTTTAGCTCGTTTTCGGTAATTTTAAGTTTAGGAAAGTGTTCTTAATTTATTTTTGGCCTCTTAATTGTGTTAGTAACTCATTTTCCCCATGATATTTTAGTGAGAGAGATGTGAGAAGGTTCCAAAACCAAGGGCAAAGAGAAATTAACTCTTGGTTGATTGAGGAAGTTTTGATAAACTCGAAAGCCGAGATAACACATTTCTAACCTTCCTATACCATTTGTGGGTCACTAAGTGCAGTTACTTAGCTTACATTAGTTTATGGAGCATGTGAGCATATTCATGGTGAATTCTAGTTTATGTTGTATAAAGCTTGAAAAATGACTATTTATGATTACATAAGACTTAAATATCATTGGATGGCCTTAAGGGGGTGAATGGGTAGTGTTGGGTTGCATTTTCCTGCTCAAAATAGGGCATTTATGGGCTTGGGTATCGGAACTGGATGACAAGCTCAAAATATTTACCAGTTATTAGCTTGGATTTCAAACCTATTCTTACAATTGATGAAAGAACATTTAGAGACATGGATTAGTTCTGCAATTAAACGTAATGCTCAAGAGTTGAAACTCAGCTTCTGTTCTTCACCTGGACCACTCGTTCGATTTCCTGATCATGTTTTCGTTTGCAGAACACTCGTGTGTCAAAAGTTGTTCGATGACGTTGTCGTGGATGTCCCTGCAAATGTGTGTTTCCAAAGTCTCAAGATTCTTCAACTAGATCGTGTACAGTATGCAAATGATGGATCATTGAAGAAGCTACTCTCTAGTTGTCCGATTCTCGAGGATTTGATCGTCGAGAGGACTTGGAATGATGGTATTCTTGTTCTGGACATCAATGTTACTTCATTGAAGAGGATCAATGTACAGAGACTGAGTTTTGGAACTGGTTGTCACAAGGTACTGATCAATGCCCCGCTGCTCGAAAGGATAGAATTGTTGGATACTACGATTTGGGATTTTCGTGTTGAAGATTTATCCAACGTCGTAGAAGCAATTATCGACGTTCGTGCGGTACCCGTGCTGATTAAAGAGATGTGTAATGTTAAGTTTCTGTCTGTATCAGAACCTGCATTCATGTCAATGTGTCAGCTGCGAATACTGGTTTCACCTGATAGCCTTGCTTAAATGTTCAAATAATCTCGAGACTTCAGTGTTTCATATCGATGCATCGTTAAATCACACGGGTCGAAAGTGCGATAAGTCGTTACCGGAGACCGTTCCGAGGTGCGTGTATGTGAGTTTGAAGACACTTAAATTGACTGGATTCTGTGATCAAGAATGTAACTGGAAATTCGTACGATATATTCTAAAGAATGCCGAGTTCTTAAGGCTAATGAAGATTGAAACTTCCTTGCGCTTGAAGAAACGATGCCACAAAAACTTGTTAAAGTATACTAGGGCTTCAAAGGCATGTGAAATTGGCTTTTTCACTGTCTCAACTAGGACTGTAAATGAGACGAGACGAGACGACCGCGAGCTACTCGAGATCGACTCGATCAAAGCTCGATAAATACTCGAATCGAATGGACTCGACTCGAGTTCTTAACGAGCCGAAACGAGCTACTTGATATTCGACTCGAAAAGCTCGTGAGCAGCTCGAAAATATAATATATTAAGATTTTATTTTTAAAAAAATAAATTATTAATAATATTAATATTTATGTATTGATTTTTTTAAAAATACAGAAAGATTTTCATGTATTTAAGGTTTAGGTTCGAGTTTGAGTTTGATGCTTCAATCGAGTTAAGTTTAAGATTTTTTTTTATTTCGAGCCTTTTCGAACTGCTCACGAGCTTCAGTTAAGGATTTCGAGTTTGAGTTGAACTTGAAGATTTTAAGCTCGCGAGTTTTCGAGTCGAGTTGAGCTCCATTTCAGAGTTTTCGAGTCGAGCTCAGCAATACTTGAGCTCGACTCGGCTCATTTACACCCCTTCACCCAACAAGCTAACAGAGTTGATATTATGAGTCAATTTGACGTTATTTCCATTATGAAATTATTAAAATTGCATTATTTGAAAAACAATAAATTAATATTATTATATTTTTTATGATATTTAAATAAAATAATCAAATATATTAATTAAGAATTAACACAAAAAAAAATCATACATAAATTTCTTTTTACCTCATTAATAACCATTTATTAATATAATTCTATAAATATATTTTTACATAAAATATTTGTATTTTTCAATATTATTGGTGTAATATTTGGGCAATTACTCTATCTTCTACTTGTGTTGCAAGTTAATCATAAAAAGTTGATGGAAATATAATGACAATATAAATGGTATTAAATTAAAAATATATCATTAATAAAAATATTTTTAATTCAATAAAAAATAATGTATTTGATTTTCATTTTTTTTATAAAATAACAATATTAAAAGTTTGGCTTTCTTCATGTCATCTGCAAATTCTTTTTAAAATAATTTCTTCAATTAATCATTTTCCTGTTTTCAAATCCCTTTTTATATTTCAATTTATCAACATTCATTTATGATAAAACTAAACCTAAAATTTGTAAAATTCGTTTAGCGTTCATGAACTTGTTCGTCAAAATGGTGAAATTATGCAACTAATCCTTAAGATTTTTAAGCTTCATAGTTTGAACTCCAAAATTCATCCTATGTTCAATTTAGTCCCTATCTTCACCAATATTTAAAATAAAAAAATAAAATAAAAAAAGGAGAACCGGGTAAACGAGTTTATAAATGAGCCCATAAATAAACTTTCAAACGAGCTTGTTCATGAACATAAATAAACTGAACACACCTCTGTTCATATTCGTTTGTTTATTAAATGAATATAAAAATTTTATTCATACTCATTTACTTAGTTTAATAAACGGGTATAAACAAGCATTATATTAATGATTTACTAATAAAAAAAGTATGGTTTTTTAAAATGGGTTCCATTTTTGAAAAAAAATGTAAAACTATAAGAAAATAGAAACCAACAGCCATGATATTGAATGTTCTTCACTTCAGCAAAATCAAAGGATCACTCATCCCTTTCTTTACTAATGCAAATTCATAATAGCAGTTTCTAACCCATAATCCAAATTACAATGAAGCACATCATTATTATTTAATATCTAATAGTTCAATCATAGGGCATAAATTTAAATTGTGGTTACGGTCGCATTTTCGAATGCGTTGCATTTAGCACCATTATGGACATAACTAGTACTATTCCATGTATCACAGTCATACAATAATCATTTCTAAAACAATATCGTTACTACTATATAACGGTCACTATTCTGATAACAGACTTAATAATTTATTTACATTGACGATTAGATTTACAATCGACAACTCTTTATTTAAAATCTTAGATGATAAAGATTAAATTTTTAATCACAACCAAAAAATATAATCTTATATAAGTACATTATTATTATTATTATTATTATTATTATTATTATTATTTATTTGTACTTTAGTGCATTCTATTGACCAAGAACAATAAAAAGAGTGATGCATACTATATATTAAATTTAGAAAACTTAAAAGAACAATAAAAATCTTTTTTAAGGCAATGACTAAGAATTATCATTTAAGCAAATAAAATGTGTTGAGAGTGAATATTTTTTCATAAATAACCTTCTTTTATTTAACTTTTTTTTAAAAAAAAAATCACTGTTATCCGATCTATTGACCGACTAATTCAGATCGGGTACTACAGAGACAAATCGATCCTCACAACCTAGTTTGCTCTATTCGCAAACCCCTGATTCGAACCCCTGACATTGCTTTACAAGGACTATACAATTTGTTTGAGATTATATAACATGAGAATACAACCCATTTAGTAACAAGTGCTTGCTTTGTGATCTACAGCAAGTATTACACATTAATAACTACCATTTCATGCTATAGCTCAACATCAACAACCATGAAACACATCATTTACCAAAATTCATAAACACACCAAGTGGGTTTATTAGGTTATTTCCGGAGACGAAGCCGATGAAACCTCGAAGTAAGTTGGCCTCGGGGTTGAGGGGCAACCTAAGGATCGAATTAGATCGGCCATGGCTAGCACATGGAACTTTGGGGGTGAATTCAGTGCGACGTTGTCGACTCGGTGCTCGTATATTTTACCTTTCTTGTCGAGTTTGTATTCGGAAGTGCCGTCAAATCGACCGCGGCTCTCCCATGGGACCCGTGGAATGCCGTGGACGGTCCAGCGGATCATTATGACGTTTTCCATCGGTTGCCATACGCTGATAATGTCAAGCCAGAGAGCCTTGAAAAATATCCTCCCCTGGAACCGCAGTGCCCAGAAGATTGACTTGTAATTGTCGATTCCGACGAAAGTATTGAGAGGATCGTTGAATACAATATCATCCCTAAACAGAAGATAAGTATGAACATGGAGATCGAAAACGGTCCAAGCACATACTTATATATAAGATTTAACCACGAGCAAGATGAACGAAATTAACAGAGATCGTTGAGACTTCATTGTTCTAAGCTAAGAGCCAATACTTTCTTCCTTGTACACAGTCAACATCCAAAACAAATGCTGCATTTATAGTACATCTAATTGCATCAAAAACACAAGCTTAGAATGAGTTTGTACCCGATATTCGAACAGATATCATCGCTCTTTTTTCATTTAGAAACTCGAATTCGAAACAAACAGTAATGAATCACTTTCATGGGTTAGGAAAACTAAAGGAAGCAAAGGATTATATCTTGGGACAAGTATAACTTTCAACATTTGAAGCCATGAATCAGGCCTGCTACCGGAAATCGCTATCTCGCCCGATTTCGAAACTGATTCGCAATATCCCAAATAGGGAACACTTAAACAAAGGGTTCAAAATGTTCAAAATTTGATCGATTGGAATTATATAAACAGAAGAACTGTCTATATATATATATATATATATATATATATATATACACATATACACTACCAGATAATACTGCCCCTGTTGAATTATGTTTCAAATTTGTAGCGATTTGAGTTCTAGTTTGGTTTACTCGGGACAATTTTGAAAATTCAAATTCTTCTACAGAATTCTCTATTATTTCCTACATTTCAAAGAAATCAAATGAAAAATTACGAAAAAAAATGATCCAAAAAGTACAAATGCGAAGAGAAAGTAACAAGAATTGAATCCAAACCTGTAAATATCAAAATTTAGCTCCCTGTAGAAGATGTCTGGAAACTCCTCTCTCAAGGTCCGAATTGCGTAACCCATATTCACGTAATAATCCTGCTTCTCCTCTTCCTCTTTGCTGGGCTTCGATCCTTGCTTCACCGGGGCAGAAAATTGTCTGTACAACCTCAAGCTTTGGCTCAAATCTGAAACCGTAACTCCAACATCTTTAACACCAAACCTAACGTTAGCCCTTGACCAAACTTTCTGTTCATTGTTCTTCCAAATCGCGAGGCTTTTGAGGAATTTAGGGCGACGGATAGGGTTAGAGAATTTTTTTGTGGATGCGATGGGAATTTCAGGTAAAGGTGAGAGAAATGCCATCTAGAAAGTATGGTTTCTCGAGAAAATTTCTGAGCAGAGAAGGTGGACTAAAAGAAAGAAAGGGAGTTAAATGGCATTTTTTTTTATAGAATGAAGTGGGAAAATTTTCCAGGATAGGTTGTTTGGATAGCCAGAAAATCTTAAAGAGAAAAGGATAAACGAGTTTTATATATTCGTCTTTATCATCATCGAGTTTTCCTTTTATTAAGGATAAACTACGTTTTATATCCTCAAATTTATTTATATTTCTGTTTTAATCACTTAAATTTAAACATTTCAATTTGATCACTGAACTTTTGAATTGTTTGTACAACTAACAAGTTGGTCCTTTAAAATGATTGAGTATTAGCCTATTAATTCAAACTTAAAAATTTATCCATATTTATTTAAGGATATTAAGATTAAATTTATAACTTTATAATAGATTAGTATATGAAATGTGCACATCTACGTTCAAGCACCAGCGATTGTAGCAAGGTGATCGAGCGTTTATTGTCAAATGATTGAGAGTATTGAGTCTGCACGCTACTTCAATACTATCGATGTTAAGCTCAAGCAGACGAGTATTACAGTTCCAAGCAAGCTCGAGGCCATCGAAGACCGCCCACAGCTCTGCTTGAATGATAGAGCATTGTCTAATTTTTCCGTTGAAGCCAGCTACCCACATGCCATTTTCACGGCGGAGGACTCCCCCACTGGCAGCTTCCATAGGCCTTGGATTCATCGCTCCATCCGTGTTCGGTTTGATGACCCCAAGAGGAGGGGTTTTCCAACTCGGCTTCCTTTTGCGGCGGTCAATGTGAATAGTCTTGGATTCTTGGCTCTGCAAGATCCACGAAGCCTAGACTTTGGCCGATAAGAGAATATCAGAAGAAGCACTAATCTGTTCGTTGAAAACGACATTATTATGATGCTGCCATGGCTTCCAAATAAGAGATCCAAAAAGATGGCTCCACTTGTAATCCATGGAATCAAGACCTGTATTATCAGACAAATTAAGTTTCAGCCAGTCGAATAAGGGTTGGGAGAAGAATAACGAATGAGAGTGATGGGGGGGTGATATGTGTCCAGATCAAACGAGCATGGTGACAATCTCTGAGCACATGGGAGACCGTTTCTACTTCGACACCGCACAACGGGCAACGATCATCAGTGCATAGTCCATGTCTTTTCCTCTCGGAGTTTGTCATAAGTCTACGACGAAGAATGAGCCATATAAATTGTCGGATTCTTTGAGGGCCATCGAACTTCCAAGCCAGGGACCATTTGTAATCCTGCGCATCCCATTTGTCTCTGTGAGAGGACTCGAAGGCCATCTTGGCAGATCAAACACCGGATTGGCTCCAGCGCCAGACGAGGAGGTCTTCCCCAATGTCACCGGAGGGAGGCGGCGTTGATACGCTGAATAAGGTCATTTGACAGAATCTGTCGCAAGTGATGGACATTCCAGGCTCCATCTTTTATAACAAAGTCACAGACCTTAGCGTGAGTAAGGGGAACTTGGTAAGTATTAAAGTTCTCCGCCAAAGGGTTCCAATCAGGTATCCATCTTGTCAAACATGCTCACAATAAAGGAATATAAATTTATGGGAAATGCTCACGGCACATTAATATATTGTTAAAATAAGACGCTATCGATTTTATTATTATTTTAAATAATAAAATCGATAAAAAATTGACACCGATATAGGTAAACACAGTAAAAAAATTGGTAAAAATAATAATATTTTTGGTCATTTTTTACCGATTTTATTATTTAAAATAATAACAAAACCGATAACACCTGTTTTTAGTCGTATATTAAACTGTCGCACCGCAGAATTTCACGTTCTACATTTTATGTTGTACAAAAATTGTGTGGTTCTTTTAAAATTTTATTAGTTGAGTTGTATGTTGTAATCTTTAACTTTATTATTTTTTTATTATTTGTAGTTATTTATTGTAAGTGCAATTGTGTTTTACTTGTAATACTTTCAAAATTTGAAAAAAAATGTGTTATCTCTATTTATTTATTTATTTATTTATTTATTTTTGGTTTGAAAGAAATATGTGTTTCTCCCTCCGTCGCAAGATTTTCGTCTCATGTTGACTAAACACAAAGTTTTAGTAGATAAGTTTGACCTTATGCTATATAAAATGAAGGAAATCAGAAAATTATCCTTAAAAGTGATTGATAAATTCAATAGATTTGTTTAGATAAGTGTACAAAGGTGAGACATAAAAGGATAAAAAAGTAAATATAAATATTGTTGTTTGTTGATTTTTCTAATAAGACGTTTTAAGTGAGATAATTTTTAAAATCAAAATGGACAAAAATCATGGGACAGAGAGAGTGTCACATTAATTCTTGATGTTAGAAATTTGTAAGCGAAAAACTAATCAAAGCAAAATTAATATAAAATAAGATATATGCAAGAAATAAGATTTATCGTGGTTCAATTTTATTTTCATGGATGAAAAAAATAAAAATCTACTATAATAATAATAAGCCTAATTTGACGATATAAAATTAATAGAAAATTAAGACAAATGGAAAGCATTTTTTTATTCAAAGTAGGAAGCCTATTATATTTTATGTTGATTAAAAGTAAAAAATAAAATAAAATCAGTTTAAGTAGATTTTTGCTAAATAATTTTTCTTTGTAATCAAAGTAATTATCTCTATAGAAATTAGTGAAAATCCTCCATTTCTGTCAGTGATTTTTCTTGGAAGAATTTTTCACACGAAATTTATGTATCTATTTTATTGTATGATCGCTACATTTGGTAAGCCTTTAACGTTGTCCAAAACCCAAGCATATGCTTATCGATTTGAAAATTTGAAGTCTCGTTATATTTTGACTCAAATTATAATTGCTAATTAAGTTGAATTTTATTGTAATTCTAGTGGTTAAACTTTACTAAGTAATTAGGTTTATTTAATAAAGTAAATATTTATTTTAGGCAAGAAAAAAAGAATTATTGGTGGCTGAGTATTTGGCTATGTAAATAGATATTATGTATTAACCATTAGGGTGGTGTGTGTTAAGAAGTTAAGTTTGTTATTTCAGTTTTGCAGTTATAACTAATTATTTGTTAGTTAGTTAGATTAGAAATGTATATATATTTGTAACATTTCTATTCAATAGACATGATGAGGTATTACACATTATACCATTTGGAAATTTAACATGGTATCAGTCTCCAGGCCGTCCTTTCTTGTTTGGCCCATCTCTCGCTGAATTTTCTGTGGCCCATTTATCGCTGAGTTTTCTGAGGCTTGTCTCTTGCAGCAGTTCCAGATTACATTCTTTCCCCAAATCGCCTTCTCTTAGGGCTACTGGCTCTCTCAATTGATTCGAACCATCCTCTCTTTCTGCATCCTTCGGATACGCCGGGGGTTCAGCTAGTCTCGCTACAACTCACTGGAGTCGAGAACTACAGCCTCCGGAGCAGGACAATGCGTATCGCGCTTCTGGCCAAGAACAAACTTGGTTTCGTAGATGAGAGCTGTTGAAGGGATGACTTTCCCGATGCCTTGCAGTCTCAATGGGAGCGCTGCAATGCTCTCGTTCTCTCATGGATTCTGAACTCGGTAAGTCCAGATCTCTCTGCTGGAATAGTCTTTGCTTCAAATGTCGAAGCCATTTGGAAAGACCTCAAGGAGCGATTTGATAAAATCAATGGCTCTAGGGTTTTTTTTCTACATCGCTCGATTACAACACTTGTTCAGGGCGAATCCTCTGTTTCTGTCTATTTCACTCGTCTCAAACTGTTGTGGGACGAATATATTGTGCTGGTTTCATTCTCTTTTTGTGACTGCGAAGCTGCCCAGCAGAACTCGGTTCATGTAGCTCAACAACGCTTATTCCAATTTCTGATGGGCCTTAACGAAATATATTCTGCACTCCGTAGTCAAATTCTCATCATGAAACCCCTCCCTACGATCAATCAAGCCTACTCTATGATCGTTCAGGAGGAGCTGCATCGTGCTCAACTTTCTGCCTCGCCCATTGAAACCTCTATGATGTTTATAACTGCTTCTAAAGGTAATAAAAGAAGACGCTTTAGTGGAACATGTGATTACTGTAACATCAAGGGCCACAGACGCGATCGTTGTTACGGACTCATTGGTTTTCCATCGGACTTTAAATTCAACAAGAAGAAGGTTCCTCCAGCTGCCACGATGGTTAATTCTGTGCACGCTGCTGATAATGACACTGTGAATGGCTTGGTGGTTTCCTCCACTGTTTCAGCAGTACCTTCTTTCACCTCTGAACAATACCATCAAATATTGAAGTTACTGAGCAAAAGTCCACCCTCAGATTCCAGTGTGAATCTTGTAGGTACCGTTGCTAGTAATTTACCTACTTCCAGCAATTCCTGTGTTCGTTGGATTATTGATACTGGTGCAACTGATCACATTTTATCTGTTTTCAAGGGCTTGCAATTTCATGTTTTATGTTCTGCTCATCGTTTTGTTCATCTTCCTAATGGTCATACTGAAATTGTAACTCATGTAGGGTCTCATAGGTTAAATTCTGAACTTGTTCTCTCCAACGTATTGTTTGTTCCAAGCTTTTCTCATAATTTGATCTCTGTTTCTCGGCTTGCTAAAGATCATGCCTGTATCATTTCCTTTTATCCTGACATTTGTATCTTGCCGGATCTTTGCAATGGCATGATCAAGGGGATTGGTAGAAGGTTTAATGGCCTTTACATTTTTGAGTCTAAATGAGCTACTGGTTTGATTTCTAATTCTTTAGCTAGTACTGGGGAAATTTCTTCTGCTCACTCTGTACATGATTTTTCTGTTAATAATAAAACAAGTCTTTGGCATGCTAGGTTTGGGCATGCTTTTGCTTCTGCTATGAAAAGGCTTTCTTCTTATATTTCTGATAAGTTTGATGAAAATTTTGTTCATTCTTGCAATGTTTGTCCTTTAGCAAAACAAACTAGGTTACCATTTCCTCTTAGTTCTACTAGATCCTCATTATCTTTTGAACTAATTCATATCGATTTATGGGGTCCTTATAGAATATCTACTCATAGTGGTCATAGGTATTTCTTGACTGTGGTTGATGATTACACAAGAATGACTTGGGTTTATCTCTTGAGGGCCAAAAATGATGCTATTTTGTTTCTTAATCAGTTTCTTTCATTTACCTCCACTCAGTTTTCTTCTGTCACTAAAATTATTAGAAGTGACAATGGTACAGAATTTTTTAATTCTCATTGCTCTCCATTTTTTTCTTCTCTTAGAATTTTGCACCAAAGTTCATGTGTTCAAACTCCACAACAAAATGGAGTTGCAGAAAGAAAACATAGACATCTCTTAGAAGTAGCTAGGGCTTTACGTTTTCAGTCAAAAGTACCTATTAAATTCTGGGGTGAATGTGTATTAACAGCCTGCTTCATCATAAACAGACTCCCTTCCTCTATTTTACAATAGAAGACCCCTTATGAACTTCTTTATCACAAAGTCCCTGACATGTCCATTCTAAAAGTGTTTGGTTGTTTATGCGATGCTACTGTTCCTAAACCAGTTGATAAATTTGCTCCTCGAGCCTTCCCTTCTGTTTTCATGGGTTATTCAAACACTCAAAAAGGTTATCTCTTATTTGATCTTACTTTTAAGAAGTTCTTTGTCAATAGAGATGTTATTTTTCATGAACAAGTGTTTCCTTTTCACTTTCCTGTCCAAACAAATTTTTTTCCTTCTACTCCTTTTATCCATGATTCTGAGTTTTTAGATATTTCTTTTGGTCAGCAACCTGTTACTACTACACCACCTGTTTCTACTTCCAGTACTAAAGTTGGGAAATCATCACAATAGTTAGAAAGTCCTGTGGTTCCAGTAGCTCCAGTCCCGGTTCGAAAATCTACTAGAATTCCTAAGAAAACTCATTTGTTATCTGATTTTATTTGCAATTCTGTTTCCACCTCTTCTTATCCCATTTCAGATTTTATTTCTTATAATCATCTTCCTTGTGGTACTCAATCCTTTGTTTCTTTTATTTCAAATTCCGTTGAACCTAAGTCTTATCATGAGGCCATTCAACACCCTGAATGGGCACAGGCCATGAAGGATGAAATTCTTGCTCTTGAAACAAATAAAACCTGGTCAGTTGTTTCCTTACCTTCTGGCAAAATTCCCATTGCTTGTAAATGGGTTTATCGGATTAAATACACTGCTGCTGGTACTATAGAAAGATATAAAGCTCGCTTGGTGGCCAAAGGATATAGTCAGAAAGAGGGTGTGGATTATATGGATACTTTCTCACCAGTGGTTAAATTGGTTACTGTTCGTCTTCTCCTTGCCATTGCTTCTGTTTTTGATTGGCCTCTGTTCCAGCTTGATGTGTATAATGCTTTTTTACAAGGTGATTTGTTTGAGGAGGTGTATATGGAACTCCCTCCTGGTTTTTGCAGTCAGGGGGAGAAAATGGTATGTAGACTGCAAAAATCTCTTTATGGCTTGAAACAAGCATCTAGACAATGGAATTTAAAGTTGACTGAGGCCCTTTTAGGGGCTGGTTATGAACAGAGTAAATTTGACTATTCTTTGTTCACGATGAGAAAAGATAAGAAGAATGTAGTATTGTTGATTTATGTTGATGACTTGTTGATCACTGCCAATGATGATTATTTGATTAATGACTTGAAGAGTTTTTTGAATAAAAAGTTTAAGATGAAAGATCTTGGTGAGTTGAAGTATTTTTTGGGGCTTGAAGTTATGAGGTCAAAAGAAGGAATCTTAGTCAACCAGCGCAAATATGCTCTTGAATTAATTGAGGAATCAGGAATGAGTGGTTCAAAACCTGCAAGAACTCCTCTTGAGCAAAATGTTAAGCTCACTACAACAGAGTATGATGAGCTGTGCATGAAAGGGAGTAATGAAAATGATGAGTTGTTAGTTGATAAAAGTGTCTTTCAAAGACTCATTGGAAGACTCATTTACCTCACACATACCAGGCCTGATATAACCTTTGTTGTACATTACTTGAGCCAGTTTATGCAACAGCCTAAGGAGTCTCATTTACGTTCTGTGTTGAGGATAGTGAGGTACATAAAAAAGAGTCCTGGTCAAGGGATTTTGATGGACTCAAACAGTAGTTATGAACTTAACGCATATTGTGACTCAGATTGGGCTGCATGTCCTATTTCAAGAAGGTCTATTTCTGTTTTCTGCATTAAGCTTGGAAATTCATTGGTTTCATGGAAATCTAAGAAGCAGAATATTATAGGCAGATCATCTGCTGAAGCAGAATACAGAAGCATGGCGACTACAACAGCAAAGTTGACATGGTTAAATGGTTTAGCCAATGAGCTTGGACTAGAAAGAAAATACCCAGTCAGGTTACACTGTGATAACAAGGCTGCCCTTCAAATTGCTGCAAATCCAGTTTATCATGAGAGCACGAAGCACATTGAGATTGATTGTCACTTTGTAAGGGAGAAAATACAAGAAGGGCTCATCAAGACAGATTTTGTGTCTTCTTCAGAACAATTAGCAGACATTTTTACTAAAGCTTTAGGAGTGCAACAACATGAATATCTTGTATCCAAGTTGGGGGTAAATGATGTTTTCTACCCACCAACTCGAGAGGGAGTGTTAAGAAGTTAAGTTTGTTATTTCAGTCTTGCAGTTATAACTAATTATTTGTTAGTTAGTTAGATTAGAAATGTATATATATTTGTAACATTTCTATTCAATAAACATGATGAGGTATTACACAGTATACCATTTGGAAATTTAACAGTGTGAGATAGAATTATTTTGGAGATATGTAATCATTTTTTGGTATCACTACTGTAACTTTTTGGACTTATGTTGCAGAGACAATTTTGCATGAATATTGAAAAAGTGTTTGGGGATATACCAGATTTTGATATCTACACCGAGTTTTAGGATACATATGATATCATGCATTTGTTGATGGAATCAAGTGATTATGATTTGGATTAGTTGTCTTATATATTTGGAGTTATCTCTATCAAATTTCACATTAACTCCAGTTTATTCATCGAACTTGGTTGCAAATGACTACCCCATTTCTATGTATGAAATTTAACCTATCGAACTGATTAAGGTTGAGAGTTATGAGGATTGTAGGTGGTTTATCTCTTTTTATAATTCGGTCGGAGAGCCGCAATCGATGATTTTTGAAAGAATGATGAGTTTAAGATGATAAATGATAAGTCAACTGTTTTATCTACAATAAGTTGATTGTATACGGCGGCACCGTATACGACGGCGACGTGAATGGACGTGAGCAGGTTTGCAGAGAGATGGATATTCTACGAAAGACTGATTCGCCTCACTTGTGGAGATGTGGAGATATTAATGGAGTACATGGATGCCGGATCTTTGGATTCTCTTGTTCTAGCAAGGGGAGTTTGTCGGAGCTGGAAGTCGCCGATATAACGAGGCAGATTGTAAAAGGATTGAGTTACTTGCATGGCCATAACATTACTCATCGAGACCTCAAGCCTTCCAATCTGTTGGTGAACAAGACGATGCAAGTCAAGATCGCCGATTTCGGAGTCAGCAAGATGCATGAATCTTGCAATTCCCACGTCGGAACCTGCGCTTACATGAGCCCGGAGCGGTTCGACCCCAACGCTAATAAAGGCGGCTACGTTGGGTTCCTCGGCGATATTTGGAGTTTAGGGCTTACTTTGATGGAGCTTTACGTGGGTCACTAGCCATATCAACCGGCGGGTCAAAGCCCCAACTGGACTACTTTGATGATCGCCATACGCTTAGGAGAACCGCCTGTTTACCGCCGTCAACTTCCGATGAGTTTCGGAACCTCATAAAATAATATATATTCTAAATATTCTCAATCATTTAACCGTAAATTTGATTTGAACTTAAAAATTAATCTATTAATTATTAAGAATTCAAATTTAATTTTATAATTGAAACTTTATTTCAAATTTTTTAAATCAAATTTATGATATTACAAATTAAATCGAACCAATAATATTATAATAACATCTGAACCGTTGATCGTCTAGACGATCCATCAGAGAATAAACGAACAAAGAACAATTTATACAGACAGGATACTCTACACGTTTCCGTCTGGTATTATAGCCTTTTCGGTACAGTACCTCTGGCAAGTTCACTTTGTTTCTGTTTCCCCAGCAAAACGAAGAATTCAGGTTTCCTCAGAGCTCGATTCGCCTCAAGAATCGATCTTTTAAGGTTAGCAAATTAATTTCCTCGGAACGATTTTACATTTTGTTTGGCTGCTGAGAAAGTAGAAGAAAAAAGAATTGATCGGAAACTTTTTGAGCGACTGTTTGACCTTCAAGCCTGTTATGCATCTGAGTTTGAATTACTTACCAGCTAAACCAATTTGCACCGGAGACCTTTTGATTTTACCTTTTCTTTTTATGTTTTTATCTGTTTTTCTTTCGCTTTCTTAACATCCAAACAGAGATTTAGGGCTAGTTCATGTTTCGCATTGCTTGCATTGGTTAAGCCGTGTCTAAATGTCATTCCGATGATCTAGTTTTTGTTACATATCGTCTCGTGGAATTTTCATTGACTTGTTTATATTTAGCTTTTTTTTACGAGTTAATATGTGTTGATTATTTGTTGAGAATTTCCGATTTGATAATTGAGAGTTGTTTCTGGTTTCAGTTGGCTACTCAGGATTCGGTAGGTTTTCACTTCTTGGAGTATGTGAGTACCGCTCATTTTCTTAGTTGCTATAATGGCTGGCATTAGGCTTTCAAGACTGAGGTCACTTTCTAATTCCTTGTACTCATCTTTAAAACCGCCATCGTCGCCACTATACAATTCGTACATGACGAATGAAAGAATTGCCGATCATCACTATTTCAGATCATCTTCTGCTTATGTGGATAATTATTATGACAAAAGAAAAACTCAATCTACTGCAAAGTTTAGGAATACCCATATTAAAGTTGCAGCTTCTTATCCTTTGGCTGGTACCTGTTTCCACAAAACGAATCCCATGTCTGCACTACCCTCGACCTCATCAACATTGGGTTTCCAGAGTGTTTTTCCTTTCGTTTCAGTAAGTCCAATGCTGAGACATCAGTCGGGTTTTCTGTCTTTCAGCAGCAAGGCAGATAAATCCACGGACCCTGCAGTTTCAGCAGCCTCTGGTGGAGAGGGAGTAGATGCAAGTAACAGTGGTTCTGTTGGCAGTGATTGGGTTGATAAAGTCAAAGATGCTTGGCAGAGTATTATGGATGTAGTAGGTTATAGTGGGGAAAAGGCTAAAGAAGCATCTAATGAACTGAAGCCTCATGTTGAACAGTTGCTTAATACCTATCCGTATCTTAAAGATGTGGTTGTTCCAGTTGGTTTTACTTTGACTGGCACTGTATTGGCTTGGGTAGTCCTGCCCAGGATTTTGAGAAGATTTCACAATTATGCAATTCAAACTTCAGTCCTACCATCAGGAAGCTTACTTGGGGATCAAGTTCCATATGAGAAAAGTTTTTGGGGAGCTTTGGAAGACCCAGCCAGATATCTAATTACCTTCATGGCATTCTCGCAAATGTTAGTGGCCCTGCATTTTAATATTGCACTCTTTATCACCCTTTTATTCACATGTTTCTGCAATGTTTTTGTCAATGCATGATAAATATGGTACCTTGACTTGTAGTGGCATGATGGTGGCACCAAGTACTATTGCATCAGAATTCCTTGCCCAGGCATGGAGGGGTGCTGCTATCCTTTCAGTTGTCTGGTTTTTACATCGTTGGAAAACGAATGTGCTTGCTCATGCACTGGCTACTCAAAGTTTAGCAGGGATTGATAGGGAAAAGTTGTTAACTCTGGACAAAGTTTCATCCGTTGGCCTTTTTGTTATTGGATTAATGGCTTTATCAGAGGCATGTGGGGTAGCTGTGCAATCTATTCTAACAGTTGGTGGCATAGGAGGTAGGTGTTTTCTGCTAAATGCATTATCTCATCTTTATCATTTCATTTATGACAATTAGATTTAGTGGTGCCAGAGAATTTCTTCAAATAAAATGTTGCCAATGTTGACATCTTTTTCAAATATATTTTGATGGTAATAGGTTTCTTGGCATGGACATGGTTGACTAGTTTTGAATTTAAAGCAACATTTCTGGTGTCATATACTTCTGACTTGCTATAGTCCCTCTTACATTTCTGTCTGTGTATGTTTGTCTGCATGTTTTAATGTTTTGCTTGTTCTGAGCTTATAGCAGAGGCTAGACTTAAGTATATTGTTAATGATGTGTATTCTGTTAAGTACAATTTAGATTAGAATATCTTTCTTTAACGTATTCTTTAACATTTCTGATCCTGCCATAAATGTGCTTTTACGTGCTTGTACCATGCTACGTTTATGTAGCAATGGATATTCTTTGATTTGTTTAAAAATTATATGGTATAAATCATAAGTGCTCTTATCTATTATATCTCAAATAGGATTTTTCTTGTGATATTTTTAATTATCAATCTTTATTCTTAGAATGATTTTGAAGAATACACAAGATTTACTGGTGCTAATTTTATGTGTTTTGATGCTACAATGGGATGATGCCTAGTTTCTTTTCTTGAAACTAAACTTCATATTTCTACGTACTATAAATTCAACTTGTTATTGACTTAGAAATAATCATATAACTGATTCAATCCTCTTATAGGTGTGGCTACTGCTTTTGCTGCCAAGGACATCCTTGGAAATCTGCTCAGTGGATTGTCGATGCAATTTTCAAAACCTTTTTCATTGGGTGATACAATAAAGGTAACAAAAATCACCTGAGATTTTTCTTTCAGTGTAGGAAAAGAAATTTTCCTGTTTCAACATATACTTATGGTTCTGATCAGTTTTTCATAATGGAAGTCCACTGGAATAGATGGATTTGTTTTCTTTAATTCGTAATCTTTAATCTGCTGAAGTTCATATTTCCCAACCTTTTTGGAGGTATCTGATTCCAACTTACTAGGAACTGTTCCCATATAATGTAATTGCCATGTATTTTTGTGGTATCGATAATTTGTGATTAGCACATACGATATTGATATGTTATGGTTAGTTCTGTTATTTCTTCATTTTTGGTGTGAATAAATTGTAAATTTTCTTGCTGCAGGCCGGATCTATAGAAGGTCAGGTGGTGGAAATGGGACTTACAAACACAACAATACTCAACTCCGAGAAATTTCCGGTTCTGGTTCCGAACTCACTCTTTTCCAGTCAGGTTGGTTTTTCTTTTGTTAGAAACAGAAGAATCATTTTTTCGCATCTTGTTGACTCTACTGACTACTGAAAGTGCTTATTTGCTTATTGACACATTATATTAGTCATATCCTAACCCATCTGTCTTGGTTGTTTACCTTGTAAATGTTTAGGTTATTGTGAACAAATCACGTGCCCAATGGCGTGCAGTGGTGACCAAAATTCCCTTGCAAATTGAAAGTCTGGACAAGGTTTCCCAGATATCGGATGACATTAAGAGCATGCTGCGGTCAAACTCGAAAGTTTTCTTGGGAAAGGAGGCCCCTTTCTGTTTCCTGTCTAATGTAGACAGTTATTATGCTGAGCTGACTGTTGGATGCAATCTCAGGCACATGGTAATCTCTCATACTCGGTTCCTTCTTTCAGATGTATTTCGTTTGAGTTAGATCCTGCATTTACCGATTTCCCAAATCTCTTCATGAGTTTCATATTAAGACTTAATCCCATTTAGAGACCCAAAAAACTCGACTTGTTACGCCCCATTTGCCTTTCAAAATTACTAATTAGCAAAAGATGGGGGTGAAGTAGCTATGGATGTAATCGACGCCCTTGGAGGCAAATGGTTTAAACATTTATGCTAAGAGCGGGGCGGTTATGGATAAGTAATCTTTGCCTTTGGCCATCTCCCTTCCTGTCCCTAATCACACTACAAAAAACAGATGTGAAAATGTACCTTGACTTGTTTTCCTCTTCGATTTTTGTTGGGAATGCCGGGTGCTCGGCAGCATCTTTTCTAAAATTCATCAGTTCAGGTCTCACTTGTGCTTTTACTCATATTTCTGATATCCCCATTGATGTTTGGCATGCAATTATAGAGCAAAGATGAATTGTACTCTGCACAACAAGATATTCTTCTGCAATCGGTCCAAATTATTCGGAAGCATGGTGCTCAATTGGGGAGTGCCTCATTCCAAGGTACACCCACTCAGTGACCAGTGTCCCAGCCGTAGGAACTACGAGATCACCCGACCAACGCCTGAGGTATCAAAGGTTTGTGGAATGTCCATTTCTTTTTCCCATTTTCATCTAGGAGACAAATCATGGAACACAATGGAAATAGGGAGCGGGAACATGTTGAGTTTAAAGTGAATTTTTCACATGGATTTTTGAAGAAATGGCTTTGGACTTGGTGAAATGCATTTGGTTCAATGAGTTGTTATCGATAAAACTTAAATCAAAGTTGTAATATTATCTTAGTTCGTCTTTTATCGTTCATCGTGAAATTGAGATATATTGTTTTTGTCCTCTTCAACCTCTCACTGTTTGAATTTAGAAGAAAATACTTAGACGTTAATAAATCGAGACTACAAAAATTTAATCACTAAGGGTTAACTGTTGTTAGACTTTTAGCGAGTTATTGACGGGGTCATTAAGGGGCAATTACTGTTAGACATATAGTATAATAAATTTATAAAATTAAAAGGGTGAGTTATACAAATTATCATTAATGTTTGTGTAAGTTTTCGTTTCCTACTAAAATTTCAAAAGTAATAAATTGATTACTAAAACATCAACTGGTTATTGTATAATAATTTTATATTTAATTTACCTCAAAAGCTTTCTAATTTTTCATTTTTTCCCAATTTATATATATACTTTTTTAAAGTTTTAACAATACAAAGTTTTTGGACATGAAACAATAAAATATTTCAAATGATAAAAAAATTAGATATAAAGTTATTATTTAAGTATCTATTTGATGTTTTAGTGGCCAATTTGTTATTTTTGAAACTTCAATGAAGAACATAAAAGCTTACTCAAACATTAATGACTATTTATGTAGTTTATCCTTTTTAATTCTAGAAATCTACTGTATCATCCTCGGTTAACTGCCATCAATTAAGTGATGATTATATCTTTATTAAATAAAAATAAAAATAATTAAATATTATATTTTTTAAATTTAATAAAAAATATAAAATTTAAACAAAAATGATCAAACATGTAATTTACCCAAATTTATTCTGATCTAAAATCTCTTAAATTCCGGACAAACGCCATGTAGACACAAATTGTCCGATCAAAGGAAACAAAAATTAAATAGAGAGAAGGCATGCGGTAACAAGAACTGCAATGACATTATTTGCTCCTCAATGAATATGATTGAAGTAAAAGCTTAAGAATCCTGGTCTTGTTTTAGTAGTTTCGGGACTCGCCGGCACCCGCTCGTTGATCCATGTTCGTCTCCTCAGGCTCAGCCGCTGCTTCGGTTGCCGCAGATGCTGCGCCGTCCAAACCCAACTTTTGCAACTCCTTCATGAAAGCCTCCGCGTCCTTGGGATTCATTTTGTATGGGGTGTGCGAAGGACCAGGGAATGAACCGTTCGCTACTTCTTCCTTGTATTCCAAGAGAGCTCTATTGATGACATCTCCGACTCGTGCATACTGCTTGCAGAACTTCGGAGTAACCTGCAGGATGTAGGGCAAACGTTTTAGAGAAAAATCTACTTTCATACGAAAGGAAAGAATCTGCGATCGGGAAATAGTTCGGCTCACCTTTGCGTGATGCGGGTGTTGCAGCATTCCGAGTAGATCATGGTAAACGAGAACCTGTATCAATGGTCCGATCAAAATTAATGGCAATTGTTATTCAAACACAGCTTCATGACATGAAAATAAAGCTTTTTAGTCTCTTCAAAACAAATGTATCATAACAGGTAATGAACAAGCATCACTGATATTCTACAACCGAGGAGTTTGTAAACTATGCTACTCGAACTTAGACTCGAATCTCGATTCTTCAAAAGTTTTTCAATGCTAGGGGGTTTATATCCACATACCTGTAGGATATGAGCGTCGGATAAGAAGAAGGAACAGTCGAAGCAACATATAAGGAACCTTTTCAAATTAATGTGGAGGAACTGATGTTGAGTTTCTGCAAACCCAAGCTTTTCTCTACTATATTTACGAGAGCATATCGTATTTGCAGAAATAACCTGATATTGCATAAACCTAAGCTTTTCTCTACGAAATTTACGAGAGCATATCGTATTTGCAGAAATAACCTGATCTTGCATAAACCTAAGCTTTTCTGCATGACAACAGAACCAGAACTCCATGCGTATGATTCTGTTTCCATGGTCTAATTTCAGCTATTGATTCATATATAGGAAAAAACTTGAGGTCCATAGCATGCTACTAAAGTGGGAATTCGAAGAGCCAAATTAACCTGTCCACTGCAAAAAGGACCAGCTCCAATGCCAATTGTGGGAATTCGAAGAGCCGATGTGGCTGCGGCAGCCACGGGAGCCGGAACACATTCCATAACAACCGAAAAACATCCGGCTTCCTGCAAAGCCATTGCAGTCTCTACAACCTGCATAAACCAAACTCAAGATAAGCATACACAAACAATCGAAATGGTAATCCAAATGAAAAGAGGCAATGGGAGATACCTTGACTGCACTAGCAACATTTTTGCCTTGAGGCCGGAATCCCCCGAGTACGCTAATTGCCTGTGGAGTAAGTCCAACGTGTCCGATAACCGCGATTCCGGCCTCGACGATGGCTTTCGCAGCGGTGATTCTCGAAGGGGACCCTCCTTCCAATTTGATAGCATCCATACTTCCTTCCTTTAAGACCCTAACAGCCGTATCAACTGCCTGCTCATAATCCAAATGGGAATTACATCAAACATCACAGTCTTAGTCTTACCGGGAATTTAAATAGTGGTCCGTTATCCCAATAGCATCCGTTGTATAGCAGTAGCGGTACTGTTTGAAACAGGTTCCAAATCACGGTCACTTTTTCGGTCATTTCGGGTTTACCCTGATTGTCGCCGTCGCGGACGCTATTGCGGATGTAGAGGGTAACTCGGACGGCGACGAAACTGCTATTTCACGAACTAAATCACGTTTTCGGACCGTGATTTCAAACCCTAATCTGAAACTGTTATTGCATGACCACAATACCCGCAACAACATGCATTATATTCCTAGCAACTGAAAACGCAACCCCAATTATAATTTAAATCCCTAATTCTTACCCATTTTCCAACACCTCCATCACATCACCACAACATAATACAAGTAGGGATGAACTGAAGGGGAGCGATCTGACCATCGCTCCTAAAAATTTCAAATTATGTATATTTTAGATTTTTTTTTTGATAATCTATTTTCGCTCCTGTTATAAGATCATTCTCTCTTCAAATTTTGAATATGTCAGTATCTGAATACAAGGATTCGGAGCTTGAAATGCACGAAAATTCATTCGAACAATGTTTAATCATCGATAACCAAGTAATATAATGTGAGGCACAAGGGAATTTTTTTTTTGGGTTCGTGGAGGTACATACCTGACTTGTGCTGGTCTCATAGGTCCCAAACGGCAAGTCACCGACGAGTAATGGCCGCGTGGCGCCGCGAGCGACGGCACGACAATGGACGAGCATTTCGTCGAGTGAGATAGGGAGAGTGGTGTCATGACCATGAACGACCATGGAAGCAGAGTCTCCGACCAGGCAGATATCGATGCCGGCGGTGTCGAGGTGGACCGCCGATGGATAGTCATAGGCTGTAACAACGGTGATCGGCTCACCTTTCTTGTATTTTTGCTTCAGCTGGTTAAGGGTCATTCTCTGGTTGGGCGTTTGAGGTTTTGGGCCACCGTATACGGTGTTTTCGGGTAAGTTGCTCAGGCGGCGAATAAGGCGGGCTCCGGCGACCGATGAAGCCTTGTACAACTTGTGTACAAACGACATTTTGTTGTAGGTATTTTGAGAGAGGAAAAAGAAACAAGCGATCAATGTGTTTAAATATTGGGAGGTGAAATTGTAATTTATTGATTTGGGTAGGGTGGTTTATTGGAAAACATTGGTAATTGTAAAGTCACGTTGCAAATAAGGTGGCCAATGATGGCGGCGCCACCTGCTCTCCACCAACTTGGCACCGCCATCTCGGACTTGTAAGATTACTTATAAAAAAATACAAAAGGATAAACTACACGTTTAATACTAAACTATTATTCTTGTTCCATTTTAGTATTCAAACTTTATTTTTCTCCCAAATCATGTTTAACGTTTAATTTAGGTTTTATTGTAGTACACGCCGTTAAAAAATTAACATAACTACTGATATGATTTTTTTCAATGATGACAATATATTATAGTATTATCATAGGGTGAAGGATCAACATCATTGTTAATTTTATAACGACAATATATCAAAATAAAACCTAAATTAAATGTTAGACATCGTTTAAAAAAAAGTAAAGTTTGGATACTAAAACAGAACAAAAAATATTAGCTTAGATACCGAATATGGTTTACCTAATATAAAAAGACATGATGACAAAATTAGTCTTTATCGTTTGATAAAATAGTCCTTTTGGATTCTATTTCTTTTTTGAAACACTTTGACCCCTAACGTTTTATTTTGGGATAAAATACTCCATGGCTAGATAAAAAATATTAATTGACTAACGATCAACGCTTCTTGCTGACTAGGTAGGTCCATATTGAAATTCCAGTCCATATAGACCTTTCTAATCAGTAGGAAGCGTTGATCATTAGTCAGTAAGGATCGAAATAATCATTTTGTCAAACATTAAAGACTAATTTTATCATTATGTCATATAAAAAATATTAAAGATTTAACTACAGAAATGATCACTTTTGTTTTAGTATTATTCACTTTTGATCATTAATTCTAAAATATTATATTTTGGCCACTTACATTGTAAGAAACTATAATTCCTAGACACATCTTAATTTATTGTATCATGTTTGATAGTAAAAATTGTAATCACATAATTACATAAGTTAAAATTCTAAAATAGTATTAATTATACAATTGAATAGTATAATCATCTAAATAATTACACAAACTCTCACCCTTATTCTTAGGAATTGAAAAGTGTAATTGAGAGCCTTAAATTTTATATAATTAAGGAAAATTCACAAATTATAATTATCGAGAAAACATGTCATATTTGTGTAATTATCCGTAATTATCCCAAAATCTAAATATTATGTGACTTTTCAAACGCACCTTTGATATTTTTAACACATGATGTTTTCTTTTCTCATTATGAGTGTCACACTCTAATTTCGGGGTTAAAATTTTCTTTATTTTATTTCAGGGATTAAATTGAAAATTCGGTTAAATTCAGAGACTAAAATGAATTTTTAATTAAATTCAAGTCCAAATCAAGAAGCAACCTAAGCTGGAGGACCTATGATATGATTTTGTCATTTTCCAATTTTGGAAGGTTAAAAGCTTCCCAAACCAGCAAGTTTCTATTTCTGGAAACCAAACACACTTTCTCTTCCAAACCTTCCTTTTATAGAAACTATCTTCGGAAAATTTTAAACGACGTTTCGCCTTCAATCGTAGCTCTCTTTTTGACGAGAGTGTAGAAGGGTGAGCAACATCAATTTTTCGACGAGTCGATGTTGAACTCTTCATCATTTACTGTTGTGAAACCGAGTTTGGTAAGTGTCTCAAAACCCCTTAGAATGTATTTTAGAATTTTTAGTAAATTTTTTAAGCCACCAGAACAGTTACACGCGCCCCCATGTGCCACTTCTGCACGTGGGGATCGTCCATCACCTTGTGGACCTTCTAGTGGCGGGTCAACCTGACTTGTTGACCCTATCCGATCCGACCCGTCCATCCCAAAATTCGAATTAGCCCAAATCCCAAAACGACCCACATACCAGTCTGACCGAACCGAACCACATATCCAATCGAACTGTTGACTATTGAACGACGTTGACTATTAGCCGTTGAACGGTGTTGATCGTTGACAATTGAATGTTGACGTCGTTAATCGTTAACAGTTGATCATTGATTAGCGTTGACTTTGACCGTTGTTGACTTTTATCGAAAACCTCACTCTTGACATTTTTTTACGTCCATGAAGTTCCGGAACTCATCGGAAGCAAACGACGACATGACATGCCTATTTATTTATGCCCTCGTTTATATTCAGCCCAATCTACAAATCCGCTTAAAATATTAAGACCTAATAACTTTTAGCCTTAAACCCAAATAAAAAAATACTTAAATCATTTAAGGAGAATACAAATCCTAAAATTATTCAGAAAGAAAAACACTTTTCTCAAAAAATAAATCCAATTAATTTTATGTTCATTTGTTTATATTAATTCATTTGTATTCCTTTATGTTTGTTCATTCGTGTTCATTACCATTTTAAAGAATGAACATAAACGAACACGAACAAGATACTTTTCTTTCATGTTTGTTCATTTGTTAAGCCACTATAACAGCTACACGCGCCCCCATGTGCCGCATCTACACGTGGGGATCGTCAATCGCCTTGTAGACCTTCTAGAGGCGGGTCAACCTGACTTATTGACCCTATCCGATCCGACCCGGCCCGTCCATCCCAAAATCCAAATTGGCCCAAATCCCAAAACGACCCACATACCAGTCTGACCGAACCGAACCACATGTCCAATCGAACTATTAACCATTGAACGACGTTGACTATTGGCCGTTGATCGTTGACAATTGAATGTTGACATCGTTAATCGTTAACAGTTGACCGTTGATTGGCGTTGACTTTGACCGTTGTTGACTTTTATCGAAAACCTCACTCTTGACATTTTTTTACGTCCATGAAGTTCCGGAACTCATCGGAAGCAGACGATGACATAACATGCCTATTTATTTATGCCCTCGTTTATATTCAGCCCAATCTAAAAATTCGCTTAAAATATTAAGACCTAATAACTTTTAGCCTTAAACCCAAATAAAAAATACTCAAATCATTTAAGGAGAATATAAATCCTAAAATTATTCGAAAAGAAAAACACTTTTCTCAAATATAAATCCAATTAATTTTATGTTCATTTGTTTATGTTAATTCATTTGTATTCCTTTACGTTCGTTCATTCGTGTTCGTTTACCATTTTAACGAATGAAAATAAACAAACACGAACAAGATATTTTCCTTTCATGTTTGTTCATTTGTTAAGCCACCAGAATAGCTACACGCGCCCCCATGTGCCACATCTGCACGTGGGGATCGTCTATCGCCACAATCTTAATCTCTTATAACTGCACCACGAACAATCCGTACAGACTACCAGTATAATTCTCAATCCAAATTATAAAGGATAAATGGTCGACACAATCACTTTTGTTTCACAAATGATAATGAAACATTACTTAATTTGTTGCTTTCTTTCGTTTTGTTTATAGAGAGAATATTGGGTGTACTATCGATAGTAAATCTCATACGTTTAGGGGGCGTTTGGTTCAGATAATCTTGGATTTTCGGGGGAATGAAATGTCATTCTCCCGTTGGGATTGCAAACATTTCCAACCCCAGGTAATCATTTATTCCCAACTGTGATATTTTGGGGGCTTATTACCGGGAATGTGATTCCCCCTTCCCTTAGGTATTATTACATTCCCGGCGTTTTGGACTAAAATGCTGTTAATTTTTTTTTCAAAATTATCATTCTTCTGTCGTTGAATAAAAAAAATTACGAATGTTAAATTGCAAATTTATCCTTAAACTATTTTAGATTTATAAAAAAGTTCATAATTAGAATTTTATATGAAGTTTAGATGTTAAAATAAAATTTTAAGAACACGTACGGGGCCATCCTTTTTTAGTTCAACCCATGCTTAGTTAAATATTAAATAAATTCTTATATTTTTAATTTGAATACTTATTTTTAAGTGAACGAAAATACTATTAGACTAAAATTTATTAGATATATAAAGTTTTAACGGATTATTTTTTTTGTACACAAAAAATTAGGTCAAAGGTAGCTCCCCCAATCTAGGGCAAGAGCATACCTAAGACCCAATTGGGATTTACATATGACTTTACAGATTACCCATCAAGAGTGACGATGATGAGATTCGAACTTGGACTTGCAAGCTCAAATTCCTGAATCCCAACCACTTGTGTCAACACTCGTTGGCTTTAAGGAGGTTTTTTTAATGAAGCTTTATGAGTGTTTTTGTTTCGTAGGTGTTGCAATTTAATAATACAGAACACATTTACAAAAGAAAAAGTATAACACAATTACAGTTATAAATAATTACAATAATTATTGAAACCCATAATCAAATCAATATATTTAAAATAGGTTTATAGGATAATATTTACATTGAATGGAACTTTAACATGAAATTGAGAATCCTTAATTCCAAACTTATTACTATGCCAGAATCCGATCGGTTTATTTTTCTGTATTCTCTTTTTTGTTGTCTATTCCGTTCTAGGATTTCGCCTCGATTAATCCGAATGGTTTCGGTAGGTGAGTCTCTCAGAGAGAATTTTCTACATACATTATAACTTTAACTCGAAATCTGTTTAAGCGATATTAAATTATTTACTACTGAATAATTTTTTATGTACTTTTTCATCTGTGAGCACGGGCTACAAGCTCCTTAAACCTATTTTCTGTTTCCTGTAGATCTCTTACGGTAAGTTCCAAACTCTTTTCTTGTTCCCTTTTCTTATGTTTTAATTCTTCGATCTTGTATAAGGCTTTGCTAATTTCCCAAGCACCGTCGTTGGCATTACCTGTGGGGGGGACAGCAACATGAAGACGATCATAATCACGGGGATCAACTTGTTGAATAGGTTCTCTCCTTGGAATCAACGGCAGCACCTGATCAATATCAACTGTTTCTGTACAGATTGTTTATACCAAGGAATGATTGAGACTAACAAAAAGACTTACTTCATCGATGACGCACTTAAGTTCTGCAATAAATTTACAGTCTGCACAGTAATAAACCGGATCCCTTTTGAATCTTTTCTCCTCGCAAACATCACAGTAGAATTCATCGTCGGAGTTATAAGCGTCTTCCTCCGAGTTCAACTCATATTCAAAAGGAGAGTTTGTATGGATCAAGGGATGGAGATGGGATTTATGGGTTACTGTTTTGGGTTTTGAGGGAAGACACTGCAGATGGATGTTGAAATTACACGGCACACATCGAAGGACGAAGGTGGTGCAGTTAACACCACAAAGATGACAAGTGAAACCGGGTGTTATGTCGAAGAGAGTTAGAGGGTGTCGATGGCCATCGCTTTCAAAAGTGGGAAAGAGCTTAGCACAATCCAAGTGAAGGCCAAACCCACAATGAACATCACGGCAGGTGTATGCAAAGAGGGATGAATCAATGCGCCAACAACATGCACCACAAGTAGGACCGTTGTATGGGAGGGAGGTAATGGTGAGTTGGTGTTTGGGGTGACAGGGATGGTAAGACAGGCGAGGTTGATGAGGGAAATTAACAGCGCATGATTTGTGTAAGAAGAAGCGGGTGCATGATGATTCAATACACCTTAAAGTTGGTGTCGGAGGTAAACAGGTTTCAGCACATGCTGCACAGCTAGGTTCTTTTCCATATTGTTGATGGTTTTGGATGAGTGAAAGTGGATGTGGGTGGCTGACATGTCGGATCTCTTTGGCTTCTTCAGATTCTGCAACAGAATCCATGGCACATTTGACATGCAGGTAGAAACCACATGGCTTGCAGAAAAATGTTTCGTTGGGCCAGTTTGAATGACATTTATCACACGAGAAATAATAAAAAATGCTGGTGCGTGCAAGAGTGCATGGATGGATGAGATGATTGGTCAAGCGTGGTGGAATGCTGGTGAGGCAAGTTTTATGAACGAAAAACTTACATTCCATGCACCCGTAGGTAGAAGAAGAAGAGCGTATCTCTTCACAAATGGAGCAGACAACTTCATCATCTTTCTGCTGCTCCAAATCAACAGGCTTCAAGGGATGAGGATGAGCGAAATGTTTAAAGCCGTGCTCATCAAGTTTGAGCTCATCGAGACAAGATTTGTGAAAAAACTTTCGACATTGTCGGCAACCAAAACCCGAGCCGGATAAGGACCTCCAACATGCAGAGCAATATCCCCATAATCCCTCTTGGAGCGACAAGGGGTGCTCATGGATTGCATGCTGAATCTCCATGAAACAAACAATGAATGCAAAAATAGCCCCAGTATTGGTTGTCAACCTCTTCTTGCAATATATAACCATCCACAACCCCTCTAACTTCTTGTTACTTTCTTCTCTTGCCTCTTCTTGATGCCCAATTCACCACTCATTCTATGTCTAACCTAACATTGCAAGCAAAGGAGACCCTAAAGTGATTCCATCCTCTACCATTATTTTGACCATTGATTCTATGCCTAACCCACCATTGATGCCTAATCCACCATTGATTCTATGCCTAACCTAACATTGCAAGCAAAGGAGACATAAAAGTGATTCCACCTTAAATTATCCATCACATTTACAAGAAACTAATCATAAAAATATAAAAGCTTCATAAATATACATAAAAACATGACATACCAATATTAAAAGATTATAAAATTTATTTTGAGAATTATAAAATTATTTGAAAGTATAAAAATTATGAAAAAAATTGAAAATTTATTAAAATAATTATAAAATATTGAAATATTTTATTAAAACTATAAACCAAATCATAATCAATTGAATTTATCAACAAAATATTCATAATCAACCAAGGCTTTGAATTCTCAAACCGATAAACATATGTTTAGGTTTTGAACAATGTTAAAGGCTTATTATAAGTTATTTATGTTGGTGTTAAAAGATGACGACACGTATAATGATCCTACAATAAAATAGACATGAAAAATTTATGTGAAAAACTCTTTCGAAAAATTTTATGGACACGATAAAAGAATTTTCACTAATTTCGAGAACAAAAAAATACAAGAATAATCCTTATTAAACAATTATCTTCAATTATCAGTGCCATTTCATTTTCATCATATCTTAATGTGTTGTTAACTTTACTAATTAAAAAGATTAATATGTACCAACAACCAATTGATCTAGTGGGATGAACCACTAGATCCCTTAAGTAAGGTCAAGGGTTTGAATCTTGACGATTGCGAATGGAGTAAACTGGGTCGTGAGGGTCGTCCTTACCTCTGCAATACTATATCCGAATTTTTACTTTTTACAAGTTTTAGCAACTTTTAAAAAATTATATTTCTATAATGTTTAATAATTTTCTTTAGAAGGAATAGGACCAAAATGTTAAAAAAAAAACGAATAAGGGTCAAAATGATTATTTAGTCAAACTTTAAGAGTATTTCTTGACATTACATATGGTTATGAATTACATATACAAGATGTGAACAAAATAGATTCAACGTTGCTGAGATTGTCTGCCACTCAATCAAATTGTGTTGAAAAAATAATAGTAGAAAGACAAAAGAAAAATAAAAGAGAGAAAATTGCGAGAACGATATCGTATCGGTGTCGTATAATTTCTTCTTTTATGACTCGTTTACTTCATTTTCTTAAGCCACCGGAGCATCTTCTGCTCCGTTTTCGGAGGGTTGGGACGATGCCTTCGAGTTGGTTTTTTTATTGGCGGCCTCGAGAACGTGGTTGTAGCTGCCTTTGACCATGAAGAGCTGAGCAAAATGGTGTTTACAGTAAAGGACTCCGTTTAAGGCAGCGTATGAAGAGTGTGTTAAGTGACAACCTCCATGAGCACATTTGAAGCACGAATTGTGGAAACATTCGCCTTCCATGGACACCTGATTAGCGACCAACGTAAAATTTTATATTAAAATGTTTAAATTTTAAGAAAGATTAACTTATAGAATTCTAATGGACAGAAATAAATTATTAATATAAAGTACAAAAAAATATTTAAAATATATAATAATCTAAAATTTTTATAAGGATGACTACCCCAGCCACCCCCTAGGTCTATACCTGCACCTACTAGGGCTGTAAACGAGCTAGGCCAAACTCGAATCGACTCAAGAAGTGTAAATCTGAGCTCAAACCGATTCGAAAACTCACGAGTTGAAAATTAAATTATATTTTTTCATGATATTATAATATTATAACAAGGCAAACTAATTAAGATGGTAAATTGTATTTACCTTCTCTAATGGGTATACTGTCTTCTGGCAAGCAGCACATTTATCTTGGGTACCAGAGAACATGGATGAAAACTTGTTGGGAGTCTTATTCTGTAAATATTTATTATTTTTACGGTCCGATAAACGTAACACGATCGAAAATATGTTTATTACTCGAAATTAAATGTTAGATATGAATATATATCCAATAAATATTTGGTACGTACCGAGTCATTTTGCTTCTCTTTTGCTGCAAAAGTGGTCACAAGAAGAAATTAAAAACGTGTCAACAAAATCATATCATCTCCAATCTTTATAATTAAGCTTAATTCATAAATTAGTCCTCCAAGTATACTTGCATTTCCCCTTTGCACCTTAATTTTTTTTTCTTCATTTTGATTCTTAAAGCATAATTTTTTTCTTCTTATTTTGCATCCTAGAACAATTTGGCCAATCAAGTCATGTCACGTGACGATTGAATTTTTGTTTTTATTTTTGTCATCCGACACGTGTCATGTTTATATTGATATAAATTGTGCTAGTGTGTAAAATAGAAAAATGGGTATGCTTTAGGAGCTAAATAGAGACCAAAAAAATTTAATTCACAAATTACTCCTCCAATTATATATATATTTCTACTTTGCTCCTTAAAAGTTTTTGTTCATTTTAACGTTAAAGTATATCTATTTTTCCATTTTACATTCGAGAAGAATCTGGCCAATCAGCTCATGCCACATCACATGTTTCAGGGTGTAAAATGAGACAAGAGTAATCTTTACGAATCAAAACGAAACAAAAATAATTTAAGGTGTAAAGTGAAAATTGAATATACGTAAAGGCTAAATTGTGAATTAAGTAAAAAAAAATGAACAAAATGCTTCAAACCTGATTGGAAATTCTTGTTGTAATTCCCAGATTCCTTGAAAAGTTGCTCAAAATGAGTTTTGCAATAAAGGACTCCATCCATGGAGGAATAATTACTCATCTGTAAAAAAAATATACAATTAATTAACATATTTAAATTTAGGTAATTGACCCCTTCAAGAATTTATAATTCAATTTCAACCCTTCAAAAAAAAAATTAGGCTAAACTACACGTTTAGTATCCCAACTATCACTTTTGTTCAGTTTTGGTCACCCAATTATTTTTTCAAAAACATGCCTAATTTTTTGTTTTTATTTTATTTTGGTCACCATTTGTTAAAAAATTAACGATAAAATTTAAGTTTCATCATAAGGTAACGTCACATCATCATTGAAAAAAAAATCACTTCAGGAATTATGTTAACTTTTTAACAGTGGGTGACCAAAATAAAACAAAAAAACGTAACGTTATGTATGATCTTGAAAATAGTAGTCAGGTGACTAAAACAGAATAAAATTGATAGTCGGAATATTAAATGTGTAGTTTGTTCTAAAATTTTATGTCTTCACCTCAGTCGTATCCGATGTTTCTCCAAGAATCCTAACTTAACTGAAAAGATTAAGAATTTCCGTATAGAACATGTATTCGTATCTAAAAACAAACTAAAAATTTAAAACTCGAAATAAAATTTCAGAGGCGAAAAGAAGAGAAAAGAATCATGAATTACCACAAGGTTACCCTTGCAATGGGTGCATTTGAAGCAAGTCTTATGGTATGGAACTCCTTCAAGAGTCAACAAATCCACCACATAAACAGTCTTATCACAAGCCTTGCATTTGTCTAATGTTCCTGAGAATGACATTTCTTTAAACCCAAAAAAAAAAACTCTTTTGAAAATGCTTTGTTTTAATTATCACTTAATTAATCACAACATATTTGCAAAATTGCTTTGTTTTAGCTCATACTGCAAAAGGGTTCCTCTTTTAATTATCCCTAAATGTGGATGAAATCATTTTGAATTTGAGAGAAATAAGGTTTGTGTTTCTTTGACCACTTCATGGCTAAATTTGGGATGAATAAGAATGAAAGAATAATGTTTGCTATTTAGAGTTGGTGGTAATAGTAGAAGATTAGATTTGTTCATGGATGGAGCCTGATCTTTCTCTCTCTTTTCATCTATGTTTATGATGTTTTGTTGGTCAATTGTATAAAAAAAAGGGTAAATTGCACGTTTAGTACCTAACATATCAATTTTAGTACCTAAACTTTCATTTTTTTCAAAACCATACCTAAAATTTAGTTTTTGTTTCATTTTAGTACCCGTTCAAAATTGAACATTAAGTTTTGAAGATTTTTTTTTGAAAGTTTGGGTACTAAAACAGACCAAAAGTGATAGTTTAGGTACTAAATGGGTTAGTTTTTAACGGAGGGGGTACTAAAATGAAACAAAAACTAAACATTATGTATTGTTTTAGAAAATTAAAAGTTTAGGTGCTAAAACGAACCAAAACTGATAGTTTAAGTATTAAATGCATAGTTTACCCAAAAAACTTGATTAGTCTAAGGTGATTATAATGTAAAATATGTTCAGACTTTTTTTAACCCATTGACAATGAATACACAAAATGTCATTCATTTATTAATAAGATTATGAACGTATCATTCAATTAATCGATTGTTATAAATAGTTCACTTTACAATTGAAAATAAAACGAACGTTCACTTTTCAGTTATAATCAAAGCCTTTTAAATTATAGATTGTAATAATCAGATCACTCAATTATAACTAAAAGATTAATGTCTATAATACATTTGACTATAAAATAATATGTTGATAATAATCGAATAATTCAGTGATTTGTTTATAACATTTAAGACTGTTAGGTATAACATCATTTGTCCTTACAAAGAAAGTCTCATAGTGGGGGTTACGATTATGTGTGTTGGGCCCGCAGTACGGTACTGGGTTATTTTTGTAAATATGTACCAGATTTTATTTATTATAAAGGAGATGTAACCAAAACCTATAACATATTGAATGAAAAATCTAGCGTCGCCCAGGGCACCGAGGACGTAAGCATATTGTTGAACCTCGTTAAAATTCTTGTGTTCTTTTCGTTTTCTTTACCCGATTATTCAACAAAGACAAGTGTTACTTACAAGTTTTGGTTGCCATTTGGATTCAAAGTTGAACAATCCCAACATGTATCCCTAATATAAGTAATTTGAGCCAAGTTGGTCCAAATTTACAAAGTTCTTGTCTAGGATACATGTTGGTGGGTTTGGATAAAAGTTTTATATTAAAAAATAAGATTATTATTCCTCCATTTTGAATATTGATATTATAAATAGAACAAAATAATTAGAATTTTTTTTTCTCATGACGGTTTATATGGTAAACAACACATTATATTGTAAATAATATATATAAATAAAATTCAAAAGAAAAATCCCAGTCCCCCATGGCTAGCAATCCTATATTCCATGATTCCATCCACCTAAAACCATCTCCGGCGTATCCATTTAACGACTGCTCGGATAGCCCTCCGAGAGTGGCGCTTTCGGGCCTCGTTGCTTGTAACTATTACATCAACGACCAAAGATTGTCATATTCACTTGTCTCCAAGCACTTAGCTTACATCATAACATAAAATGTTATTAAAACTCGAAGGGCGGGTTAATCATATGAAACTATAAGTCCGAACAATGCTTATACATATATATGCCCCACCCACAAAAATATTTCTGGATCCGCCATTTTTTCCGGCTCAAGCTATTTCAAGAGCAATGCTTATACATATATAATAGGAAGAACAGGAACTTATCCTTACACAAACATATGCTTAAAATTAGGATATTCTCAACCCACATTGATGGGTACAACCAATGTTGTAGAAAACATGTAACACATAATTCAGACACTAAACAAAAGCATCGAAGCAAAATGGAAACGATTTCAGCTAACAATGCCATTCCTCTTTTCCTCAAAAGGTGTCTCAACCAGGTATCGACAAGGTGCGGGTGGAGGCAGTCACCCCTAAAATTTTAAAATTATCTTATATTTTTAATTTTTTATGCATTTATTATTGAAAATCTGGTTTTGCCTAGGGGTGCTTATCAAACGAGTCGATCACCAGTTGGGTAGTGCTCGACTCGTGCTCGTTAAAAATTTTGTTGCTCGACTCGATTAGTTGGTCGTTAAGCTCGTTAAAATTTTACTCGACTAGTGCTCGTTAAAAAAACTTGTTGCTCGACTTGTGCTCGTTAAGCTCTTTGCTCGTTAAGTTCACTTAAATTTTTATCTTAATTTTTTAACTATAAGTAAAATATATTAATACTATGAATTAATATATTAGTCATTTACCACGTTTTTATTAACTTTAGTAAATTAATAATTTTTGAATGAAATAATTTTTAAGATAACTACTAAAAATTATAAAAAAAAATTAACAAGTTGCTCGCGAACTTACCAAGTCGAGTTGGACTTTGCTCGACTCAACTTGTTAAGTCTCGAGTTGGACTTTGCAAGTGAAAAGTGGAATGACACCTCTAATTTACATCTTAACTTTCATATAAAACATCAAACTGAGCGAATTCAGTAGTAAAAGAATTATTGTTATTTTTTGAAGTTCCGAGTTCAAGCATAGAAATACCAGGTGTGTGAGTGTTCAATCTTAAATCGTTGATAATTATATTTAAACAAATATTGTCTTGTACTTACTCCAGTTTAATAAAAAAATACTTTCATATAAAATACTAATGAAAGAGTAAATTGCAATAATCATCCACATATTATAACATATATTTTAAATTAATCTTTAGACTTTAAAAAAGTAATTTCATCGATCGTGATTCTAAATTGATCCTAATATTTTTATCATTATAATTTTATCTTTAAAATTTTCGTATCACACGCCAATTTAATAAAACTATTGTAAAATTTGTTAAGGCCAAAAAGGCATCAGAGGTCTTGTACTCTTAAAAAAATTAATGTGACACTAGTATTATTTTTCTCTTGATGTAGCCATTCAACTCAAAAAATAAATCTAATGTGGCCATTTGACTAACGTATTTTTATCGTTAACCGTTACGATACTGAAATTACAGTTCACAGTGCTGACGTGGTAGTCTACGACGACAACTTAACGTGGTGGATGACATGACAGACTAAATCGATAAATCAAACATGGCAAATGAACTGTCACGTCAACAATGTGAACTGCCATGCCAATATCGTAACTGTCAACGATGGAAAAACTTTGGTCAAAGGGTCACATTAGATTTATTTTTCTAAGTTTGAGGGTCACATTAAGAGAAAAATAATAGGATGACCATATCGTTTTTTTTTCCAAAAGTACATGAACCTCTGATGCCATTTGTTAATTTTTATATAATTACTTATAAAAATTATGCAATAATATAATGTGATATAAATGATAATTGATGTTGAATTTAAATAAAATAATGATTTAATTTTGAAATGTATAAAGAATTATAAATGAATTGAGAGAGAAATTAAAAACAAAAAAACCATTTAATTTCATTATAAATTAATAATTATTTTAAGCAACGTGATACAACATTAATTATCATTTATGACACGTCATATTATTATATAATACACATTAGTGTTTACATGGTAGTTAATAAGTTTTAGGTAAATTATGCACTTAGTATATAAATTATTAGTTTTAGTCCGTTTTAGTATCTAAACTTTAATTTTTTTTCAAAATCATACATAATTTTTAGGTTTCATTTCATTTTAGTATCCCGTCATTAAAAACTTAACGCGTTTAGTACCTAAACTGACAGTTTTGATCCATTTTAGTACATAAACTTTCATTTTTTTTTCAAAACTTAACGTTAAATTTTGAACAAGGATATTAAAATGAAAACAAAAACTTAAGTTTTTAACGGCTGATACTAAAATAAAATAAAAATAAACTTTAGGTATGATTTTAAAAAATTAAAAATTAAAGTACTAAAACAAACCAAAATTGATAATTTAAGTACTAAGCATGTAATGTACCCATAATTTTTTTGCTTGATTCGTGTTTTATTTTGATTATTTAAATTAATCATAGAATTATTTTTTGACCCTCAATAGATCAAATAATGATATTTCATTTTGATTTTTTATATGGGTAAACTACAGTTAAAAAAATTAACGATTATGTTAACGTGTTCAAAAGATAATGTCATGTCTTTATTAAAAAAAATTACGTCAATAATTTTATTAATTTTTAACGATAAATAACTAAATTAATATCAATACGTGAAGTTAAATATAATTTAAAAAATAATAAAATAACCAAACAAACAAAAATAACAGGCTTAATACAAAAATAAGTATCTAAACTATGTCTCGAAAAACGTTTTACTGCATAAAGAATTTTTTTGTTTAAAATAGGTGCCTAACGTTTCTCTGTTATATTTTTAAGTTTCTATTGTTATATATTTTTTAATTTTTTTATAAATAAAAATATTATTTTTAAAAGAAAATTAAAAAAACCTTAATTTATTTATAAAAAGAACCCAAAACTTTTTAAATTACAAAATAACTCCGATTTGTTTTTCATTGAAGCTTACTCCATGAAAAATGGCGGCGACGACGCTATTTGATGAGGGGATGGTTGGGTTTTTCATGGCATAAGACGACGTTCTCATCAGTGGAAACGATAATGGTCACGGTTGATCAGAGAAATGTTTGACGGTGAGGGACAACAGTCGATTTTTTATTGTTTTGTGGTGATCGACGGTCGATTTGGGTGATTGTTGGTTAGAGTTGAGGTCGCGAGGCATCGACAATGCTACTGGTAATGATGTTGGCGTCGAGGATGGGACAAGGGGGAGGGGTCAGGGGAGAGGGTGGGGGTAAGGTATTTTTTAAAAAAGTTTTTTT